ATATCAGGGCTCTCTAGTCTGTTCCATTGGTCTATTGGTCTGTTCTTGTGCCAGTACCAAATTGTCTTGATTACTGTGGCTTTGTGGTAGAGCTTAGTCAGGGAGTGTAATCCTTTCAGGATTGCTTTGGCTATTCAGGGTCTTTTGTGGTTCCATATGAATTTTTGAACTATTTGTTCCAGTTCATTGAAGAGTGCTGTTGGTATTTTGATAGGGATTGCATTGAATCTGTAGATTGCTTTAGGCAGGATGGTCATTTTGACAATATTAATTCTTCCTATCCATGAGTATGGGATGTATTTCCATTAATTGGTGTCTTCTTTAATTTCTCTCATTAGTGTCTCATAGTTTTCAGGGTATAGGTCTTTCACCTCCTTGGTTGGGTTTATTCCTAGGTATTTTTTTCTTTTAGATGCAATTGTAAATGGAATTATTTTCCTGATTTCTCTTTCTGCTAGTTCATCATTAGTATATAGGAATGCAACAGATTTCTGTGTATTAATTTTGTATCCTGCAACTTTGCTGAATTCAGTTATTAGTTCTAGTAGATTTGCGGTGGATTCTTTTAGGTTTTTTTATGTACAGTATCATGTCATCTGCAAACAGTGACAGTTTAACTTCTTCCTTCCCAGTCTGGATGCCTTTTATTTCTTTGTGTTGTCTGATTGCCATGGCTAGGACCTCCAGTATTATGCTGAATAAAACTGGGGAGAATGGGCATCCTTGTCTTGTTCCCAATCGTAAAGCAAAAACTTTCAGCTTTTTGCTGTTAAATATGATGTTGGCTGTGGGTTTGTCATATATGATCTTTATTATGTTGAGGTACTTGCTCTCTACACCCATTTTGTTGAGAGTTTTTATCATGTAGCTTTTTACATTTTCAAGTGGATAGTTTCTTTTATACTTACTTGTGTTGCTATTAATTTCTGATCTTACTTCACTTAGGCAAAACATGGCCCATATGACTTCTACTTTCAGGAATTTGTTGAAATTTTTATTTATGTCTTACCATATGGCCAATTTTTGTGCCTATTTCATGTGCAGTTGAGCCTATTTATTTACTATTTGAATATAAAGTTGGTTCTCTCCATCTCTCAGATTAAGTTTTTAAATTGTATTATTTAATGACATTATTATGTTTGGGGGCTACTTGTTCTGTCTCTAAGAGAGAGGCCTGGTCATTTCTCCCACCCTGATTATGGGATTTGTTAATTCCTGCTGTTTTTAAAATTCAGCTTTTATACCTGCATATTTTTAGACAACATTCTTATGTGCTTATGATTCTTGTATTTTCTCCGCTGTAAGTGCCCTGGCTTGTCTGGTTTAATGTGGTGGCCTTGCCATCTGTTTTGTGGATGCAGGCGGCTGACATATCCACTTTCATCCTTCCACTCTTCATTCTCTCTGTGCCATTTGTTCTATATGTGTCTTTTGTAGTAGCAGACAAGTGGATGTTGCATTGAGTATCTGCTTTTCGAAGGTGAATTTAGCCCATTTGCATTTACTGTCATTAATCATAGATTTATTTCTGCCGTCTTATTCCATGTCTATCTTTTTAACTTTCTTACTTTTGTATAATGTATTTTTGTTGGATTGGTCCCATTTACTTTGTTCTGGTTTTTTTCTCCTCTGATGACTAGGAATTTTGATTTTTATTTCTAGTGGTTATTCCATATGCATATGTGTGTCTATACTTATACTTTTTATCAACATCTGGGTGCAATCAGTATCCAACCTCTTCCCAAATGAGGCAAGAACTTTAGCAGTAACTTACTCTTCCCCAGAGCCTATCTTCACATATGGATCATAGATTCTAGTTCTAGAACATATGGATCTTCACATATGAATCATAGATCTAGATCATTGCTTTTCTTCAAGTTGTATAACAATATTTATTTGAATGTAACTCTTAGTTTTGCAATTTCCTTTGCTTAACATTATTTATTATACTACTCATCTTTTTCCTTCATGGACCTATTTTTCACTTTGTTGTACTGTATCATCCAAGAATTCTTTTAGAAAGCATGGAGAATATCATCTGTAAGACCACCAATGTCTGAAGTTTTTTTGTAATGTCTGAATATTTTTCCTTCATGGAGGGTCCATTTTCATTTTTGCCTCTCTGTTAGAATTTTTTTAAAATTCTGAATGATATATTTAAAAATATCTTAGGTCTCTAGTTTTGGTTTTGGGCAATATACATGCTCAAGATCTATGGCTATATTAATTACAATACTACCTGAATGTGTTCAGCTGTTTAACTCAGGCCTTCCCATCCCCTCTTCAGCCAAATCCATGCCATTTTCTTCTGTTTTGTTGCTTGCTGTTCTAAGTTGGGTTTATTTAGGAAAAAAGACTCATTTCCTCCGAGTGAAGGGGCAGTCTTCATACCCCGTCCCTGGCAAATATCAAGGAAACTGCCTCAGTTTCCCCATGGGTCCTCAGCTGTAGATCCTGTTTTCTCAGCCCCTTTACTTCATATCCAGATCAAATAATTCTAGGGTGTCAGAGCTCGAAGGTCATGAGGGTCCTGGGACCCTGGCCCTCGTTTCACACACGAGGAGACCGAGGCCCACAGAAATAATCAGTAGCCTTGAAGTGCTGCCGTGAGGAGCACATCTCAGGTCCCTGCGTGTACTCAGGAGATGCGCGGGGATGACGGCTGTGGGGACAAGGTCGCTTTCTCGAGCACTGTCTCCAGGTGTCTGCCAAGGGGCTGTGGTTTCCTGGGTGTCCTGGACACCTCGTGCTGTAGCTTCCCTGCTGTCCACACTGGCAGCTCCCACATGTGTATCTCATGGCTCGCTTCCCAGTTCCTGACTCTAAATGCCTATTTGAAGTCCCACATAGGTAACAGAGTCAAAACCTGAGCCCCATAAACCCTGTTTTCCGCCCAGTCTTCCTCACCGCGGCATATGACACCACTATTCATTTGGCTCAGGCCCTAAAGGCTGTTGTCCTCACTGCCCTACTCTCTCATCCCCCACACCCCACAGCTTTCCCCAAAAAGCTGTGCTCCTGATGTCCCTGTCTTAGAAAGTGGCCTGAATCCAGTTACCTCTCAAAGCTTCTGCCCCCACCCAGCCTGGGCTTGGCCCTCCCTCGCGGCCTGCCTGGGGCTCTGCATGACCTCCTAACTGGAGCCCTTGCTTCCACTCCTGCTCTGGGTTTTCCCAGCAACCAGGGTACATTTTTCAGTTGTCCTCCACATCATGCCACTCTGTTGACCAAACTCTGCAGTGGCCCCGTCTTGCTTAGAATGAAGGAAGCCTTGCCCTGGTGCACCCCCACTCGTCGTGCTCCCTCTGCCCAGAACGCTCCTCCCCGAGGCCCCATGGCTTCCTCCTTGCCTCGTTCAGTCACGACTCAAACATCTCCTCCTTCCCTGTCCAGAACGACCCCAGCTTCTGCCGGTTACCTCCAGCTGGCTATATTGTTCTTCATAATATGTAGTCATCCCCACCTGAAATTATCTTACCCATTCATGTGTGCATCTGTCTCCTGACTAGATTATAAGTTCATGAGAACAAGGATTTTTGCCTCATTCACCCTGCGTCCGCAGTGCCTAGGACACTGCCTGGCACATAGTAGGCTCTCAAAAATGTGTAGACTTCACATTCATTTATTCATTCAGCTGCTATTGAGTACTGTTTGTGCCAGGCTATAAGTAAACACAGACCAGGTCCCTGCCCCTGGAAGCTGACTGTTCAACTGGCACCTGTGAAATGGACAAGGAGAACTGAGTGCCATGAAAGGTGCACACAGGGGTGGGAGAGGTCACGGGGGCTCAGGCAGCAGGACAGCGAGCCAGAATCAGCTCACCAAGACAGGGAGAGGCGCCCAGGCCCGGAGGTGGGAGAGAGCGCCCCAGGGGAGGATAACAGGCTCGCAGCAGGTGCTCCCACAGGGCTCCTTTGTGCCAGGTACCCTCTAAGGACCCTAGTGTGTTAATTCAAAACAACCCCGAGGATCCCCATTTTGGGAAATGGAGGCACAGAGAAGTGAGATTGACCAGGGCTGCCCTCTAGGAATGAGGAGCCAGACTTCGTCCAGAATCAGGCTCAGAATCTGTGGCCGTCTGCTCCACCCACTCCAGGGAAAGGGAAAGTTGGGACTGCTCAGAGAGTAGAGTGAGCCGAGAAAATGGGGAGAGGTAGACGGTGAGTGGGGGCTTGCAGGATGTTGAAGGGGTCAGACGTCATGACCCCCATAGGGCTTCAGCAGGGCCTGAAGGGGTCAGGCTTGTGCATCTAAAGGGAGACCTCCTAGCTGTGGCTCTGACTCTCTGAAACATGCAGGGGGTGGGCATCTGATCTCAGCAGGAAGGAAGCTGAAGGGGAGTAGACTTCCGGACCCCGTGGGGTGCGGGTAGTGAGATAGGAGGGAGGGGCTGGGGCAGAGCCTCTGCCACGATGGCCCCTAGCCTCCTTACCGCTGCTTTGCCTCCGACCCCAGCTCCCCTTCCCATCACCCTGAAAATGGCCCCATCCTAGGAGGCAAGTGACCCTGGCTCCTTTCCGCGCAGGGACTGAGGACCTTTCCTGACCTGGGATTGCCTCCTCCGGGCTCCCCCTGGCAGGTCCTGGGGCTCTTCTCCCTAAGGTCTGCAAAGTAGAGGCATGGTTTCTATTTCACAGAGGAGGAAACCGAGGCTCAGAGAGTTAGCAACTTCTCCAAGAACCTGTAAGGGCTGCAGCTGGGATCCAGGCCCAGCTGTGGGAACTCCAGAGGGATTTTGTATCAGAGTTGCTCGGTGACTCATGAGGCTTTCTGGAGACATTGGCTAAGGCCCAGGCAGCACTGTGGATTGGAACCAGTGGGTCCCCATGAGCCCATGAGAGCCTCACAGCGGGAGGTGGCTGCGGCCCTGCTGGGTCCCTCACAGTGTTGCCCAGGGAGCTCATGCGGCCTCTTGCAGGGGCAGCAGCAGCAGGTGGGTTTGCAGGCCGCAGGGCCTCCAGGGTGGGTGGTGAGAGCTCCTGAATTCCCACCCACCCCAGTTCTGGACACAGCCGGCCAAGAGGAGTTCAGTGCCATGCGGGAGCAGTACATGCGCACCGGGGACGGCTTCCTCATCGTCTTCTCCGTCACAGACAAGGCGAGCTTCGAGCACGTGGACCGCTTCCACCAGCTCATCCTGCGCGTCAAGGACAGGTGAGGGCCGCTGGGCCAGACCTCCCGGCTCCGGGCTCAGCAGCCTCTGTCTGTCTCTCAGATTTTCAGGGGAGGCTGTGTAGCAGAGGGGCAGAGCTGCGTTCAGACCTTGGTCCCTCTGACTCCTACGCTAGTTGTGTCAGTGGGGCCAAACTGCCTCCAAGCCTCAGGGGGTCAGTCCTCCGCCAGTCCTCCTAAACTGTACCTACTGATGAGTCAGGAACCAGAGGAAACATCTCTGTTTTTCAGCTCCAATTTGCCCAAATTTTATTAAATTCAAAGAAAGAGTGAATTTTCAGTCTGCTATACATTGTAATTGGTTAAAGCACATTTGACTATGAGATTTATAAGCCCCTTTCATTAAAGGCTCATTTTTTCCTTAGCATTACATGAAGTAATATTAAGCCCAATCGGTCTTTTCAATTAATTGGGTCCTACACAATGTAAAGAAAGTAAAAGGAGAAACTAATGGGAAGACAGCAAGCTTTGAACAAATCTCAGTGAATTGGGAAAAATCCAGTTATTCCAAAGGTAAAGTGTTAATGACTTAACAGCTTTACCAGGTAAAGGGCTACACACACACACACACACAGTTCTCCAAGAGATAAGTGTGAGTTAAGCCCCTGAATATAGGAATCTCAAAAGAGAAAGCATAAATGACTCAGATGTAGGAATATAGTCAATCTTTTTGCTAATCCTAGGGAAAATATAAAGTACTGTTTTCACCAAATTATAGTTTTTTTACATGAAAATGTCCAATGATGCCAAAGATGCTGCAAGACTGCCATTTTGTCCATGTTTGGACAGCAGTTTGGCCACATATGTTGGCAGGAATCTTTAAGGCAGACGTGCCTCATGATCCCACCTTCCTCTCCTGGGAGCCACCCTGACGTGGCAGCTGCCATTCACCAAGTGCCAGCTGTGTGCCAGCCCCTGGCTCTGGTGCTCTTCACAAGCCACTGCTGGTGGCCGCAGCAGCTCTGCGAGGTTGGCAGGCAGCAGAGAGATGGGAGGAAGCAGGGCTGGGAACCCAGCCTGATGCAGCAACCCCGTGGCTCCGTCACTGCCAGGCCTGAGCCAGGCATCCCGGAGGGCCCCTTGCTCTCCTTGCAGCAAGCCCCAGGCGTCAAACCAAGACAGCCAGCAGGCCCCAGGCTCCTTTCCCCTGCCTGGAGGCGTGGAGGGAGGGGGCGCTTCAGTCTGTCCCAAGCCAAGTGGGAGGCCCCTGGGCTGTGTCCTGCCTGGGGTGGCTGCTTCGCCTTTGCTGGGGTGGGGGTGAGGGGAAGATGGCAAAACCTCAGAGCTGCCCTTCCTTTATTTCTCAGAGAGTCATTCCCGATGATCCTCGTGGCCAACAAAGTTGATTTGATGCATTTGAGGAAAATCACCAGGGATCAAGGAAAAGAAATGGCGACCAAACACAATGTAGGTCGTGTGTGTGTGTGTGTGTGTGTCGGGACTCAGGGGACATATAACAGTTGATGTCCCATCATCCCAGCAGTCCCATCTGTGTCACAGAACTCGGGCCCCTGAGGTGGTGGGCTGGCTCCCACAGAGGCTTCACGGGCAGATGAAATGGAGACAGTCTCTGAAACAAGGCAGCAGAGCAGAGCGCCCTCTTGCCAGTCGCTCTCTGCTGTGGGGAGCAGGTACCCTCACAGTGGCTGGCAGCCGTGGTTTTGACCACCTCCTGGCCGCCATGCTGCAGACTCACCTCTGGGCAGTGCAGCACGGGCTCCCGCCCATCTCTGAGCCAGCCACCTGATTATGCTCCGGACACCCCAGCAGCTGCTGCTCCTCATGCCCTGCTCTGTGCCAGGATCGCACAGGGGGAGCATTTAGTCCTCACAACCGAATGTTGAGGTTGAGGTAATTATCTCCATCTTACAAGTGGTCAAGCTGAGGCTGGCCCTGGCCACACAGTGATAGGGCAGGAGTGCCGGGGGGACATCTACACAAGTGAATGGCAGCAGATATCTTGGGGTTTGGGTTTTGGTTGTTTTTTTTTTTCAGTTCACTGTGATGCCCCTCTGCCCTCTAAATGGTGCTGGCTGGAGCCGCGGGGCTTCCTCCCACCCCTCCCCGGCACTGGTCCGCCCGAGCCGTAGCCTCACGGGTCAGGTCTGTAGAAGTCCCCCTCTGCTGGGCAGTCTGCCGGGCTCAGGCCGTGAGCAGGGAGATGAGCTCGGGGCTGCTGCGCTGACCCAGACTCACGTCAGTGCGGACCCGTGTGGCACCTGGGAAGGGGGTGAGAGCCAAAAGGATTTGTTTATCTACTGGGTGTCAGGTGAGAGAGAAAGTGAAGAACCAGGATGGTTCCACAGTTCTGGGCTTGAGCACTTGAGAGCTCAGAGGCCTGGAGGCACAGGGACGGAGGGGATCAGGAGGCGGGGCGGGCAGGAGCCTGACTTTGGATCTGTTTAGTCTGCGTAGCTGAGCAGATACAAGTGGAGAAGTGGAGACGGCAGTGAGGTGTGCCAGTGTGGAGGGAGAAGACTGGGAACTGGCAGCACAGCGTTTAAAGCCATGAGAGCCAAGGGAAGGGGTCGCGGGACTGAGGCTGGGGACCCTTCAATACTGTAATGGGGGGAGATGAGGAAGCCCATAAGGGACTGAGCAGGACATATGAGAACCTGAGTGGGGTGTCACGGAAGCCAAATAAAAAAGAAGCCTGGAGGAGGAGGGAGTGACCCACTAGGGAAGGTGCTGCTCAGGAGGCTCTGGATGAGGGGTGGGCACCAACAGCTGGGCTTAGCATTAGATGCAGGCCTCCTGGAGAGCGCAGGGACCTCCAGGGCTCGCATCCTGGGCATCAGGCCTGCGGAGTCATCTGCATTTCACAGCCGGCCGTATGATGCCGAGAGGGTCGCTCACAACCCCTTCCTGGGTGTCCGTCCCAAGGAGCCCTGGGCAGGGGTGCTATGCAGGCTGCAGTGGCCCCTTCTGCACATACAGGGAATGAGACACCAGAGGCTAAGTATCTCCCAGGGCCTCCCAGCTGGTGGGCATTCCCCCCGCATCCCCGGTAGCACCCAGTCTCCAGCCCCTCAGGCGTGTCATTTCTCCCACAGCACATGCTACCACTTCATGTGTCATTTGACCAGATGACTCCGTGATCTGCTATAGACAACATCCTAATTTTAGAGCTCACAAAGCAAGTTCCTCTTTAGCTGCCCCAGGCAGGCTGCCCCACCCGGTGCAGGAAGATGGCACTTCCTAGCCCTTTGGTGGAGTCGGATGGCTGGACTGAGTACTGTTTGTGGCAGGGTTTCCCTTAGCTTGTCTCGTTGCTGCTGAAATCCTTCAGTTCCAAGAACCCAGATAATGCACATCAGCATCTCTTCAGTGGTACAGGCAGGACCCCCAGGAGGAAGGCAGAGGATGTCTGAGGCCCTGGGGGACACTGCAGCTCCTGTACCTCTGGGTGGTGACTTGAGATGGTAGACAGCACCGGCATGAGGCCTCTGGAAGCCAGGGCTCCCTGAGCTGGCGGGATTCTAGGGCATGAAGGGGCTGCAGGTCAGTGCACCCCAGCTGCAGGGGCCTCCCTGCCTCCTGCTCCCCTCTGGGTGTGCACATTCCTCCAGGAAGAGCCTTGTCCTGGCCTCACAGGGTGTTTGAGGGGCACCTACCATGCTGGGGAGAGGCTCTGAAGCTGACCTCGGCACCCCTCCTGTCATGGGAGGCCAGGTGGGCTGTGGAACAGGCACCTGGCTGAAACCCCGATTCTCTGCTGGCCGCCATGTGGCCTTGGGCAGGTATGTCACCACTCTGAGCTCAGTCTCCCAGTTGCAAAAAGAGTTACTTGCCTACCTCCGAGGGCTGACATGAGGATTAAGTGTGGTCAGGGAGACCTGGGAGGCCGAACAGCCCACAGTCAACTCAGTCCAATAGCCTGTAGTGGGATTGCCCTTTCAGTGTTATCAGAAGCTCAAACATGTGCTGAATGAATATGTCAGAGGTCTGAGCCATGCCCTTTGCATCCCGGTCAGCTGCAAGAGCTCTGGTAGAAGCCACAGCAGTGTGTGAACATCCAGTCTCCCATGGTGACAGTTGACGGAAAGATATAATTACAATGTGTTCTGGGCAATCAATCGTTCACAGCCTACTCTTCTGAAATAACATCTTACCCTGTCCCCCCACTACCACCAACCCGTGCATTTAAAGTGTTGATCATTTTTATTTTCTTCACTGTGCTTTTCTTTTTTCAAATGTGTTATAATGAAATGCCTTAATTTTGTAATCAGACAAGGGTTATGATGATTACCAAAGTTCCTCAGTTTAATCGCAAGTGGCTTACCTCCATCTCATCTAGGGAAGCCTGTGCACGTTGTGTGAACCCCACACTCCTTCCACTTGTGGGGAGGTGGGGGGAGTCCTTCCTGCTTTTGTGGGGTCCCCACTATAGGAGAATATGAATGCTCATGGAGCCTCTGGTCTCCCTGTGCCGGACCAAGGCTGGATGTGGACACAACCCTCAAAACCATCCTATGGGGTCACCTGGCCCACATCTCCCAGTGTGCTGCTGCCTTTCATCTGGGTGATGATTCCTCAGCCTGAAACATGCAGACACAAGCCTTTTGTAAACAATGAGCTTCCAGACTGGGGATGCAGATCAAACAAGACAGGGGCTGGCAGGCTGTCTGGGAAGGCACAGACCAGCCAGGGGCCTCCAGGGGACAGAGTCCTGCTCATGACGCAGCCCTGCTGCAGCCTTTCCCACCTGAGTCCCCTCTGGAGGGCCCAGGGAGAGGGGCAGAAGCCCCCCATGGTGAAGAAATACACCTCAGAAAGAAAACAGAAAGAAAATAGTATGAGAGCATATTTTAGTTTGATAAATGAAACAGCCTTTGGTCTTCAACTATAAAAAAAGATCACTTTTATTCTATTTTTAGGGGCTTATTAAATATCTCTGTGACTCGAGAACAAGGGGGGCTCAGAGAAGCTGTCCATAAGGCTTTCCAAACTTAAAGAGCTAGAAGCCACCAAGGGGCACGTAGGCTGCCTGAGCTGTAAGGGTACACGGTTCCTTGGGCCCTTGGAGAATTCACATTTTTAGGGAACAGGACTTTGTGGATCTCAGTGCCACTTTTACCAAGTTGAGCCGTGCCTTGCAGATTCCGTACATAGAAACCAGTGCCAAGGACCCGCCTCTCAATGTCGACAAAGCCTTCCACGACCTGGTTAGGGTCATCAGGTGAGTGTGGCCCCTCCCTGCAAACAGAGCCTGTGCAGCAAGGGGGCACTGGCAGGGCCAGGTGAACACAGCTCCCTGTTCCCAGGCCGAGGCAGGTACTTGGACTTCTTATACCTCCAACCATCTCTTCCCCCAAACTTCCCACCTGCCTCTGCCCTACCTGTGGGCATCGGCTGCACAAGCCACAGAGAAGTGGCTTCCCACCTGAGGTGCCAGCTCAGCCTCCTCCTGGCCTCTCCTGGTCGCAGCCTAGGTGGGCTTTCTCCCAACCCCACAGCTGGCAGCACCATGAAAAGCACCTCCACCCTGGGCAGAGTGCCCTTGACATCTCACCTGAACAGCCCCATTCTGATTCTCAGGCTCATATTCGTCAGCCATAGCATGTATGTCTCCTTTCTGGACCCCACCCACTGACAGTTTCCAAGCATTGTCAGAGATCCTAACCCAGAGTCTCTAGAACCTTCACATGGTCAGGGCCCAAACCTTAATCACCTGGAGCTGGTCTCCCTGTCGCCTACCCTCCCATTTCCTAAGTCCTCAGCCCAACCAGTGGCCTAACCGCTGGTTCTCAACCCCAGGCGTCGAATCTCTTACCTCGTGCTGGTGAGCTCCAGGGCTGTGGTTGGTTAGGAAGTCCCACACGGGGCTCTAGCAGCCCGCCTCCCGGCCTGCCACCTCTCAGCCCCCTGACACACACACACACGCACACTCTCTCTCTCTCTCTCTGTCTCTTTCACTCCACAGCCTCAGTCTCATTACTCCCCAGCGGGAGCTGTGATAACGCAGCCTTCACCTTAGGCTTTAACCGGCAATTCTGCGCTCTTTTTTGTACTGGAATATAGTTGCTATACGATACTATATTGGTTTCAGATGTACGGCATAGTTGTATACATCACTAAATGCTCACCCTGATAAGTGTAGTTACCCCCCATTACCATACCAAGATATTGCAATATTATTGTACTGTCATATTCTCTGTGTAGTACTTCCATTCCTATGACTAATTTATTTTATAAGTTTGTAATTGAGTCTGTACCTCTTTATCCCCTTCACCTGTTTCACCCATTCCCGCCCTTCTCCCACGGTAGCCAACGGTCTGTTAGTATTTGCCGCAGTTCTGTACTCTTGAACTGTTTTTTTTCCCAGGCATTTTGCCTCCAGGTAGGATATGCCACCTCACCAGGAGATGTGATGTCTTGGTTACAGACCTGGAGTTCCAAGGGAAGGTTTTAGACATGGAGAAAATAACAGAAAACATGTAAAAAGCTTTTGTACTCTGTTCATCTTTTATCTTATTTAAAAGATCAAAACAAAGGCCAACACTATGTGATACGTAAGGTGGGTCATGATGTAAATAAATGTAGCCATGGGCTGAAGTCAGTTCTCGCTGGCAGGCTGGCAGGTTGGGCCCTGAGCGCTCCCCCTTCCCACCTCCCTTGCCTCAGAGACACCAGGCAGACAGGTGCCCCCGGGGTGGAGGGCAGCAAGCCCACCTGCCGCGCACCCCCACCGGGCACAGGCTGCCGGCCTTAGGCCCTGAGGAGGGAGGAGGGGCAGGGAGGAGCAGAGCCCACCCTAACTTTGTTCTTCTGCCCTTCAGGCAACAGATACCAGAAAAAAGCCAGAAGAAGAAGAAGAAAACCAAATGGCGGGGAGACCGGGCCGCTGGTACCCACAAACTGCAGTGTGTGATACTGTGAGAGGCCTGAGGCCCTGGGCACCGTGACCGTGAGCCGGCCGGCCCTCGGGACCCCTCCTCTGCCTCACCGCGCTGAGAGCCGCTTCTAACCACGGCCCTTGGCCTGAGGACTTGGCACGGGAAGGGAGAAAGGGAGGCGGGGGCAGAGGGCGTCTGGCTCTGCTGAAAGGGCACAGGCTTTCCCGTGTCCCGCAGGAGGCCAGAAACGGCGCTAAACGGAAGTGGCATCCAAGCCCCACGTGTTGATTCTGCCCATTCCTCCCCTCCTCCGTGGCTGTGTTGTTTCTCCGAACTACATCGTGTTAGTTTGATGTGGAAGTGCTTATCCACGTACAGAGTACACAACAAGCCATGATCCAGTCCCCCATCGCGCCCCCCGGCCACCCCAGTCCGCAGTGTCTGAGCTTGGGTGTCTTTTGTAGATTTTTAAATTATTTTAGTGATCAATATTTTATTAAAGGGGTCTGTGCCCACTGCCTGGTGAAGTTTCAAGTCTTCAGCAGGCTCTCTGATAATATGTCTGGAGTATTATTGTTGGTTTTTAACTGAGTCTTCCCAGCAGTGCCAAAACTCAACTCAATGTGGAAGTGAGTGACTGGGGGAACCCAGGTTAGCAGGGCCTCAGAGAGACAGACCCTGTTGATGGCCTGGGACCTGGAGAGAAGAAAGTTGTGTTTACTCGGAAGCCTGACTGTGGTTGAGACTGTAGACAGTAGGAAACAGTTTTGTTTTGCTGAGGGGAGAGGCTGGCAGGAGCATGTCAATTTTAAAAGGGGTTTTTATCATCCTGGAAATGTGTAACTTAAGTAGGCTGATTGGCTTTGCAGATCATTTATTTTCTGCATGGTCTGGGTTCGGTTCTGTCTCTCCCCGCCGTGTGAGAGGGCTTTCTCATACCGCCTGTGCGGCCTGGTGCCTCAGACACGAACACACTGACATGTGTATGTTTCTGCACATCCAAGTAAGCTCATGTGGACACCATTCAGAAAACTCTAGCTAGTGCTAAATCTTAGCCAAAAACAATCCAATACTGTTGTTACTAAAACAGCACTAAGACCTGAAGCCATTTTCCCTTTGAGTCAACTGACTTCTACTTCTAAGGCCCAGTAATTGAGCAAACTCCTTTAAGCATTTGCAAACTTAGTATTAAGATGCTTTCTGGCACTTTTCTTAACCTCTTGGATCTTAACTGTAATACATAATTGGAAGAGAAAGGAAGGTTGGGCGATGACATGGCTCCCATATACCTGTTTCTACAAGGAAATAGCCTCCCAACCCCTTGATGATGTCCACTTCCCTCTCAGGTGAGCAATGACTGGATTTTTCCAGCCAGGGTGGGGTGGACGGCAGGGTGGGGTGGACACTGGAGAGGAGGTCAGAAGGCGAGGTGGCATGGCTAGTGGCCTGGTTTTCCATATGTTATAAATCAGGTCACTAGGCCAACAAGCATCCCTAGCAGGTAGGAGGGCCACTGTTTGGAGAAAGAAACCCCTCGGAAAGTGATCACCCAACTGGACATCAAGACACCTGGATTCTTCTCGAGTTTTGGAAGTATGCTGAGTTCCCAACTTAGGGGACAGCGGCACCAAGGGGCCCAACCAAAGAGTGATTCTGCTGAAGAATGAAACAGTTGGAACTTCTGTTAGATGGAAAATCAAACTTCTTTATGTGTTTAAATGGCCCTTTCTTCTGACCCTAAAAGGAAGGAGAACAAAGAACATTTCAGATCAGGCACTTCAGAGATTCCCAGATCCTATAATGCAAGACAAGACTCTTTCCAACCCTGATGCTCTACTGAGCCACATCCACAGCAGCTCATGCACAGTTTGAATGCAGCTGCATGTCGGAGATGAGGAAAAGGCAAGACAGGCAGGAGAAGAAAGAACAGAGATGCTCTGCATCCAGGGAGTGGCGGAGTGAGCGAGGCTCTGCCCACAGGACAGGGTCTGCTGCTGGGAAACTGCCAGGCATGGAGTGCCGCAGCACACCCTGCCCCCTGCCCTCTGCACAGCCTGCAATTCCCGACAGCCCTGAGCCGGGGAGTCTTGCTGGAAGCAAATCAGTTGACTTAGAATGAAGCCCTTAATGAGGTAACCAGATAAAGGGGTTTCAACTGCTTCTGGTCCCTCCACCCAGCAGAAGCAGCGCCTCTGCCCCACCCCTGGCCCCATCTTCCAGGGCATCCATCCTGGACTCAGCCTATGGCTGAGCTCCACAATGCCCGAGGCAGAACCTGGTTAAGGGACGGCCTTGTGCAGCCTCTGCTGTTGAGCCAATGGTCAGCCTGCATCTCCCATGATCTCATTTTCCCCATAGGTGAGATGGGTGATCACTTTGCAGAGACAGTCTTGGTGTTCTAGGGAACTGTGGGCCCTTGTGGCAGGGCAGCTTCCAGACATGTCAGAGTGGAGTGTATCCTCAGTACGTCTTCTCCATGGTCACCTGGCAGGGTCAGGCTGGAAAATCAGGAGCCCAATGGGACTTGTGTCTTTAATGACATCCTGGTGTTCCCAGTGGTTTTCCAGACCTCCTGAAATGTGCTCCCTTCTCATCCCCTGGAGCACACCATTCCTGAAACCCCTTCATCTCATGCCGTTGCCACTGTTTACTCTCAGATTTCCGTCTAAAATTCTGGCACCCTCCTTTAAAGAAAGGGGTGCTCCCTTTCTCCCCATCCTCCCTACCCTAGCCTTGGGCTAAGCCACTGCTTCCTGTGCCCTTTGCCACACAGGGGACACTTGGACAGTTTCTCTTAGGACCTTGTGGCACTTGGCTGTGAAGTGTGCCTGGTAGCCTAGTGTGGCCTGTCTCACTTTGCCAGGAGGAATGACCCACGAACACGTGGCAGCTCTCACCCAAAGGCCCCTTAGATTTGTTACTGTAAATCCGGAGCCCCAGGTTCCCTCCTTTAGCAGCCCATTGGATTAGAAATTCCATGTCAGGTTTACTTAGAATGAAAGATACTTGAATTACTGAGCACCGTGAGCACCCAGCATCTGCTGCCCAGTATTAACAGGAGGCCATTGTCATGAAACTACAGTGATCCTGAAGGTCTCGGTAATGCGTGAGCCTTTCGTGTAACTTTCTATTAAGTCTTTGTGTATCTCAACTCATTAATAAAAGAGGAGTACTTGTCTGACTTATTTCCTCTTACTCCAACACTCTTACTGAAGTTTTGCTGAGAACATTGTAAGTTGTCTGCGTCTACCCAGAACACCCCTGTCTCATAGAGCAAAGCTAAAGTAAGGACACCACCGGTGGCCGTGAGGGCTGTCTCCTCCTGCACGGAGCCAGAGGGTGAGGGCAGGCAGGGTTCAGAGACAGAACCTCCTGATGCTCGGCAGCCCTGGATTCAAGCTCCATCACCGACCTTTATGTGCCTTTGAGCAAGTTACCTGCCCTACTCCTCCGCTAACTAACTGCCTGTGAATGGGAAGTAAGTGTGCACCTCCCAACTAGACTGAGGACTAAACTAAGTGTGGGAGCTTGTGGTGAGGATCCCAGAAATGGTGCTCTTTGTAAAGAACACCTATTAGATTGTCCTTTGTTGCTTTTCATGGAAACTGCCCCAACCTCAAGATTAGTCCTTTGTACAATGTGACTGCATTTCTCTGTTGATTGAACCTGGTGGGTACTAAGCCTCTCTGAGTCCTTTTTCCAGGGAATAGAGACCAAAAGGTATCCCTCTCTTGGGACGATGATAGTTGAAGCATGTAAACCTGGGGGTAGAGGGCATTCTGGGAACAGAGAGCCAGACTGCAGAGGAGTGGGGAGGGGTGTGTGGTGGCCAGTGCAGGCCTGGCTGCCTGCCCCTTCATCCCACACAGATTTGTGGGCCCTGCCACCTGCCAGGCATTGGGCTGAGCGCTGGGTATATGATGGTGGCCAAGGCAAAGTGTCTCCTGGTGCCCATTATCCTTTAGTTCTGTATTAGTTTCCTGTGGCTGTGTTAACAAATTAGCACACACTGAGTGGCTTAAAGCAGTTCATTCTCTCACCATTCTAGAGGCCAGAAGTCCAGACTGTGTCACTGGGCGGAGGAGAAGGGGTCAGCAGCACTGTGCCCCCTCTGGAGGTTGTAGCGGAGAACCCACCCCCTGCCTCTCCAGCTTCTTGGCTAGGCCTCCCATGGCCTGTGGCCACACTGCGGCAGGCTTCAAGGCCAGCATCTCCAAAGCGCTTCCTGTTCCACCTTCACAAGGCCTCCTCCTGTGTGTGTGTGTCAAATTCCCCTCCCTCTCCGCTGATGCTTCCTTCTCCACAGCTGAACAGAATTTCCATGGCCTCCTTCCACCACCTCTACCCACCCACCAGCATCTGCACCCACACACTGCCTTCTGGCTGCTCTGTGAACTGTCAATGCTCCTGATTAAAGCCAGTCTCTCTTCTTGGGCACCAGAATACATCCAGGACATTACTCCAGCACCACACCCCTCTTCCTTCTGCATCGTCCATTTTCTCTCTGCTGGATCTTTCCCATCTTAAACAAAAGCAAAACCTTCATTTGATCCACCTACTCTGCAAGATACCACTTGCTTCTCTGCTGCCTTTTGCAGGACCATCTTGAAAGAATAATTTAGACTCACCGTCATAAGTTTCTCATTCCCTTCTCTCTAAACTGCTCCAAATAGGCGCTCCCACGCCACTTCACCACCACCACCCTTCTCACTGTCACCGGCGGCTTCCGTCTCTGTGTTCACGGTTGGATGTCCAGCTCCTCGTAGTTGATGATCTTAACGCATTGACACAGTTGATCATTCCCTCTTCCCCGTTAAACTTCCTTCCGCCGGCCCTAGGATGCTGCCGTCTCTCGGTGTTTCTCCTTCCTCGTGGCCACTCCTGGATCTCCTTTGCAGATTCCTCCTCTTGGACCTAACCTGTCAACTCTGGAGCACCCAGAGCACAGTCCTTGGTCCCCTTCTTAACCTAAGCCCACTCTCTTGGTGATCTCACCAGTCTTGAGAATTAAATGCCTTCTATGTGCTTTTATGCTCCCAAAGGTGTATTTTCAGCTTGAAACTCTCTCCAAAACCCCATACACCCAACTGCCTACTTCACATCTCCACCTGGATGTCTCAGGTAGAGTGTCTCAAAGTTAGTGTGTCCCAGACTGAAGTCCTGCTCTTCATCCTCCCTTGCCTGCCTCACCACAGCCTCCCCAGTTCAACTGAGAGCAGCTCTATGCTTCCAGCTGTTCAGGACAAAAGCCCTGGAGTCACCCTTAATTCCTCTCTCTCTCTCACACCTCAGATCTAATCTGTCAACACATCCTGCTGACGGTACCTGCAACATAATCTCCCTATTTCTCATCACCTCCACTGCTGACATGCTGACATCCTGAGTTGCCACCATTCATGCCTTCCCCCCTTGGCCTCCTGCACTTCATTCCCCATGTGACCACCAGAGGGGTTTTTGTAAAATGGAAGCTAAATGATGTTCTCCACTATGCCCAAACCTCTCCACCCCAGTGGCTTTCCCTTCTCATTTTTAAAACATGTCAGAGTGGACTGTGCCACTGAGCACCTGCTACTGAGAGAAGTTAGATATGTTCATTCATTCAGCAGCAAATACCCCACTCTGAGCCAAACACACCAGAACAACAGAGGACATTAAACCCAGTCACCAGGTCACAGGGGCTCAGAGCCTCATGGGGATAGTGAGTCACTAACAACTGTGCATTAAGAGGAACCCCTCAACCAGGGAGAGCAAAAGAGGATCTCATAAACCTTGCACCCAGTAGGTGAGAACAGTGTTCACTGACTAGAGGAAAAGTTCAGTCATGAACTGGGCCCACTAATTCCCTTACTTCTGAAGATCAGTTTCACTTTCTCTAGCATGCCCAGGTTCCTGGGATCCACACCAAGACGATTTAAAATAAGCGCCCCCAACTCC